AAATATAGTAATTATACATTTTATCCTTTGGAAACAAGATGAAAAGAGTATTTCCAATCAAAACCTATTTGAAAGATGCTTGCTTGGTGCCAGTTCACCTTTTGACTTTTTTTTTTTTCAAATTAATGCTTTTAAGAGATGGAAATTACTTTTTATTTCAGTGCATGATAAGGAAGAAAATAAGGCGTTAGAGCGCCCTCTCTTGTACAAAAAGAAAATTAAAGTATTTAAGACAAATGCTCTGGAATGTAATAATCTCTTCAAAAGATGGTTCAATGCATAACTTAATGAGTTCAGTGGGATGACCAGCTAGTAGCAGTAAGTAGCAGAGCAAGGATAAGTGGAATTTTAATTCTTTTTTAGAATCCCATTGATTCAGATGTTCAACAGTCTAATCCATTTCACAGAGTTAATATTAGCATATTTTACATAATATCTTGCCTCAGATTATGTTATATATACCCTATAAATAAATTTATAGGATTAGTTACTTTCCTGGCTTGTCTTATTATAAGAAAACTCAATCACGCATATCCCTTTGTTAATTTTCAAATAAATAAATAAGGCCATGGTATTCTGCTTTGCATATGTCATAGTTCATAGTACTGTTTGGTGATAAGATTTCCTTTAAAATCCCACTTCTTCAGAGTTTTAAAAACACGGTAATAAAGAGTGAGAATAATTTGTTTTGTATAGTTTGCCAAGTAGACATTCGTGTTATAAAGTAAGAGTCACCTTTACTAATCTCACCAATGGTGACGACATTGGGCAGCTACTGTATACCGCCACTGTCTTGGCTACTGGCGCCGGTGTTATTTTAGTTTTCCCTTCACCACTTTTGCAAAGGACGGGGCATGGTCCCCATTTTACAGATGAAGAAATTGATCCTGAAGGTTCATGTCTGACTCACAGCCAGTGAACGCCCGAGTCACAACTTGAGCCCAGCTTTTTCTGCTGCAGTCTGGGGCCCTGCACAAGGAAAGCACGAGCAAGCACTCAGAGCTCTGGAGGAGCTGCTGGCGCGTGATTAGTTTGTCTCGGTTTCCATCAAAGGGATGTATTGCCTAAGATCACTGGTTTCTAGGGGTGAGTCATGTTCACCTGGGTCGTGTTGGGTTGTTGGAGGGATCAGAAGCTACTGTGCTGAAATAAATGTATAAAAGGTATTGTTAGTTCCAACCCTCGCATGACAAATGTCATATAAATGACTCATTTTCATGATTACCCGTTGTTTAACTATTATCTTTTTCTACTGATATTTCAATTGGGAAAGCATATTTTAGTGCCACGATTTCATTGACATAAGGGTCAGGCAGTTCAAGTGAAACGTAGGTGTTGCTCTTCCGGGACCTAACACGTTTGTTCACTAGTTCTTCTCTGGAAATGATGCATGTTTATGGCTTTTGTATCTCTATAGTTTTGAATGGACGGTTGCAGGACATAATACTTTACCCAAATATTAGTCAGCGATATGTGCTGAGTTACCAGATGCTGTATTTTAATAGAACATTCTTTATTTCTACAGTCACAGCCCTTTCAGACAACACAAAACCAAAGATAAGCATGAGATAGACCGAATGACACTCACCGTGGTAAGGGGATTCACAACTTTATTCTTATCTGCATCATAATTTTCATGTTTCCTTCCATGAATAATAAAATTACTATCATATAAATATATAATATATGATATAAAATATAAAAATAATAAAAATTTGCTTTCTTGAAACAAATAAATGAAGATACAATTCCTAAAAAAAACTAATTTAAAAAGATATCAAGGCAAAAATCAAGATTTGCTAATAAACAGTACAGGAAAAATAGAAAATTGTGAACAAAACTAAGGAATTCCAATAAAAGGAGAAATTACTGAGATGGAGAAGAATGAGGAGACCTTCTGGTTCTTCTGATCTGGCCGTAGCCTGTTGATTGATTTTACAACTGATAAGTAACCTTTTGATGTTTCTTTAGAGTAAATATTAATTCATAGTGAATTTGCAGTTTTTAATACTATTCTTATCCAAGAAACTGCCTTTAAATCTAGCTGGCTGTGAGGATGCCGTTCTGTGAGTAGGTTTTTGAAATCTCACTCTTCTTTTCCCCAGAATGTGGAACTTCCGGAGACCTTCTCTCCCGAACTGAAGTCCCTTTTGGAGGGCTTGCTCCAGAGAGACGTCAGTACACGGCTGGGCTGTCACGGAGGCGGGTAGGCCATCGTTTCTGCCTTGTGGGATCGTTACCCCAATAGTGAAACAGTTCATTTTAATACTGCATATCAAAAGTCACTCCTAGTCCTTAAAATCGTTCACTTTGACTTGAGGGGGAAAAAATCACGTGGGATATATGTATGTATATATGTGTATATTGTCTTACATGTTCTGTAATTAAGAAGCTGAAGAAGTCGCTAACTCTACAACTTTGAAAATTTGACTTTGTAGATGATAGAACTGAATTCTGATATTTCAGACTAACTGGTTAAGTTTTAGTAATGATTGTATTTGTAATTATGGCGGTTTAATATTCTGATCAGGTTCTCATATATCTCCCTTCATGCATAACTGAGTAGCTGCTATCTTATACATGCTTTCTATTCTCTTGCCTCCCCGCCAAAAAAACCCCAACAGTGATATCTGGAAACTTACAGAGAAGGGCTTAACACAGAACTTTCCCCGATTTCTCTCCATCCCCTGGCTTGCCTCACATACGAAACAACTTTTAAGTATCTGGCACATGTATGTATGGCTCATATATGTGTGTATGTATTTTTAGAGTAGCAATGCATGTATGCATACATATCATACTTATATACAGGTGTAATACAGATAGATAGCTAAATAGTGTATTTAAATGCATGTTCCCTTATTTACCATTTAGAAAGTGCCTATTCCTGCTGTAATGGATGAAGATTTAGCTTACTCATAATTCTCTGTAGCCCTCCCTCTCCCCCACCTCTGTTTCTGGTTCCTTTTCTGCTTACCTTTGAATCTTTAAATTATTTACTTACCCAGTTGTTCCTTCTCCCACCAACTGTAAACACAATCTCTCGAGTCCCCACTTTATACAACAAGGATCTTGACATTCTTGTCTTTCGTTGTCTTCTCTCTCACTCATGTCTGCCGTGTTCATTTTTATTTTTACATTGTCAACTTGACACTTTTTACTCTCTATTTTGCACGATCATAATTAATCTTTGCACTTTGCATATATGTTGATTTCAAAAGTTGCAGGTAAAGTAGAATTTACTGTATCATGGCCACATAAATGCTGTTCACTGCATAGTTTCTATTTAACCTGATAATTAACCTTACGTTTATATATATATATAGACACACACACACACACACAGATATACTCATGATATATGCAATATATGTAATATGATATTTATCTTAAAAGATAGTATCACAGTTGTGGACTTTCATTTGTCCCTGGTTTCTCTTTCCTGGAGGACTCAGCCTGCAGCTCCATGAGAACTGAGGGTGTCTCTATTTCTGCTAAACATTATTGTCCCACTCAGCACTCCCCTTCTTACTCTCCAGGTCTGACTCTGCCAGTCACCCCATCCCCTGCCCTTTTAGCTAGAGCCTGTGCTCAGCTCTGCAGCGAGAAGCTGTGAAAGCCGAAAAGTTCTCCTGTTGTCTCCAAACTTGATTAATAGTTAGGCTAGATACAGAATTCTAAATCAATAACAATTCTCCCCCAGAACTGTGAAGATACTGCTTTGTTGTGGACAAGTGAACAGTCAGTGCTGGTCATGGAGCTCAGTTATCACTCATGGCAGGCACTTAGAGTCCCTTTTGCTCGAAGACTAATGTCCTTCAGCTTGGAGAACACTCTTATTTTATTTATTTGACATTTCTTCTCCATTTATCTTAGAACTCTTATTAGGTGGATGTTGGGATTTCTAGATTGGTCTTCTATGCTCCTGGTCTTATATATTTTCTATATGTTTGCTTTGATATCTTTTTTTTCTTTTCTTTCTTTCCTTTCTTTTCTTTTGAAATGGGGTCTCACTCTGTTGCACAGGCTGGAGTACAGTGGTGCAAGCATAGCTCACTGCAACCTTGAACTCCTGGGCTGAAATGATCCTCCCACGTCAGCCTCATGAGTAACTAGGACGACAGGTGCACACCACCACATCTGGCTAAATTTGTTTTATTTTTTGTAGAGACTGGGTCTCACTGTATTGCCCAGGCTAGTCTTCAACTCCTGCCTCAGCCTCCCAAAGTGCTGGGATCACAGGCGTGAGCCACCACACCTGGCCTGTTTTACCTTCCCATAATTTAAATTTCCAACCCTTTCATTGATATCTTTAAGAAAACTTTAGCAGGTTTAATTTCTTAGAAGTAGAATATTTCAGGGGTCCGCCCCGATTAGAATAAACACCTAGCTGCAGGTGTTTGGGGATTGGATGTGGGGGAAGGAAGTATGGTGTGTGTGTGTGTGCATGTGTGTGTATGTGCATGTGTGTCCACACGTATGAATGCGTGCTGGTCAGGGTCAGAGGTTCTGTGTGCAGTAGCTCTGCCCCGTTGGCTGTCAGCCGCCGCCCCTCTGCGCGTCCCTGTCTTGTCCGCTGGTAGCCCTCTCCCGCTCCCCGTGGAGGACTGATATCTCCACGTTTCTCTTCCACCATTTCAATGATTGCCAGGAAGGAGCAAACTTGCACACTTGTGCTCCATCATTGGCTTGAACTGGAAGCTTCTCTCTGGGGTATTTTTCGTTGCTTGGACATATGCAAGCAAACTTCTTGTTTAGCTTTCCCCGTCTAATGTGCAGGCGATGATGGGCACAAAATGGAACAGAACAGGAAAGTCAACTCAGTGTTTCTGCTGCAAATGCAAAGGGGCAGCTCTGACTTGAATTCCATTCCTTCGTCCCATGAATATCTGCTGGGCACACCGAGTGCCAGACGCTCTCTAAGTGTTGGGCTGAGGCGGTGCACAAGGGAGGCACGGCCATTCCAGGCGCAGGGCTTCACGAGGGAGGGCTCCAAGGCAGAATCGAGCCAGGTCTCCTGGGCCCCGGGCCTGGTTGTGAGGGATAAGGGAAGGCTTGGGAGAGTTGAGCAGGGGAGCGGTGAATGCACTTAAGATTATCTGTGCACCGTGTGGAGCCAGACGGGTCTGCAGACTGTGGTAGGCAGGAGTGGAGGCCAGGTGCAGGTAGGAAGTAGTCAGGTCTGACATCGAGCCCAGGGTGGCTGTGGAGCGGGAGGGAAGAGAAGCATCAAGGATGATCAGAGAAGCATCAAGGGTGATCTTGGCCTTTAGAGCAGGTGAGGCTCTGAAGGGTGCTGCTTTAAACCCTCCAACCTTGTCTGAGCAGGTTGTTGAGCAAGCCCTTGGATGGGGGACCTTCTGGAGCACAGGACAAAAGTTGGTGCTTGCGACATAGATTTGGGAGTCACGTAAAGGCAAATAACGTCCCTTGACACCCGGGGCTGGGCAAGATGCCCCAGGGACTGACTGCAGAGAAAGGGCCCCGAGAGCCGGTCATGGGCTCTGCGGGCAGGGCGGGCGCCGGGACTGTGCTGTGAGTGCACGCTCCCCACGTGGGCTTTGCTTCCAAGGATGCAGCTTCTGTCTGTGTACACTGAGCTTTAATCATGACCTTTAGGAAAATTTGTTCCTTAAATTTACAAAGGAGTTCGGTATGCATTATATTATTAGATTTCTAGTTTGCTTCTGAATAAATATTTGGTGCTTCATATTCCCGTTATTTTCCTATCATACGGTCTATCATGACTTGTAGACATTGGCTGTGAATTTCGTTCAGGTGTAGATCTCGCATTTAATTCTGATTTCACTTATGTTCTGATGACTGTACACACGCATGTACACACGCATGCACGCACCTGTGAAAACTTCCAGGTTATCTTGCACTGAAATAAGCATCCCAAATAAATGATCACACGGGACAATATCCCTGGGTGTAACATGAAGCATTTCTAAACATCACAGTGCTTCCTCTGTTGCTTTGAAGGAAGCCCATTTTACTTGCTTGCTTAAGGAACTAGAAATAGTTGTTCCTCTATGTTCTTAATAATAGGAGACAATTTTTGCAAAATATTTCTTATATTTCCAGATGCATACTCAGCATCATTATGACTCTTTTTTTCTCCTCCAGTGCACAGGAAGTAAAACAGCACACCTTTTTCAAAGGCATTGACTGGCAACATGTCTACTTGCAAAAGGTACTCCCTGGCTGTGGTACTCTGCTCTGGGCACCGCCGTCCCCGCGCTCTCATGTCTGTCAGTCTGTCTGTCTGTCCCTCTGTCTCTCCATGTACTGCTGGCTTCCTGGCTGTGTCCCCCCAGGTCCCCATCCCAGCTTCCTGTGTCCACAGTGCTCTGGTACCCAAGTGTTACCACGTGGCCAACTCCCCATGGGGCGGCTTCTCCCTCTTCATTTCCCTAGTATAAAAATTTTTAAGATATCATCTATACAAATTAATAAAAGATAAAATGGAGCTGTTATCTACCTAATTCAAATGTACATTTATTTGAGACTCTTTTTAGTGTTAGCTCATCTTCTTGAATTCTTATCCCAATATGTGACCTATTTTTACACAGATTTATATAAAATGTACAAGATTTTTATATATTTTCTAACCTAGTACTACATAATTTAAGAATTAGCGTGATTTTATATCAGCATAATTCCCTTTCCTCATTTTAAGCTTTATTACATTCACATTGATACACGAAACGCCACAAATTAATTTTTTTTTAAATGTCGATTATCAGCTTCGGGCTTGTTTTTGCAAGAACTCAAGCTGCAGAGAAATGGTGATTTTCTGCATTGAAGAGAGACGACTCTCTCAGTCCTGCCTAATTAGAGTTTGAGTTCGAGCCCTTGTTCCTTTAGCCTTGACCTCAGGGTGCTTGCAGGCGTGCGGGGCTCTGTCCAGGCCACTCGCGTGTTCTGGCCCCAGCAACTCGAGAGTGGCGCGGCCTCATCCCAGAAAACGCGCCTTCTTAGGTTGAGCTGTGGGGCTCTGCAGTCTGGAGACTGTTATATTTGAAAATTATTTAAGACGTTAGGCATGTGTCCTTTTTCCTTAACTTTGGGCTGCGCAAAGCAAAGGCTCCCGGGCTGTTGAGTGCAAAGGCTCTCGTATGAAATGTGTAATGTGATTTTGTAAAGCTTGAACGAGATGCTGCCCAGAGCGTGGGATGTCGACATCTTCCTCTGTGTCCTTTCTCTGGGCTGTGAGGCTGGGATGGGCCCAGAAGGTCATCTGATAACCATGCCATGCTTCTTCTAGTACCCACCACCCCTGATTCCCCCCCGGGGAGAAGTCAACGCTGCTGACGCCTTTGATATAGGCTCGTTTGATGAAGAAGACACCAAAGGCATTAAGGTACACATGTGCCAGTCTCTTTTTTTCTTTCTTTTTCTGAATGCGGAGAATTTCTGCCGGAAATCAGTTAAACGTAGTGATTGTTTTAGTATTGGGCTGTTGGTAGAATGTCACTTACAAATGAATATCCACATGTTTGAAAAATGTGTAAGTTAAAAGCCATGAAAACTTTCTTTGCACTAATAGTTTTATTTTTGATGAGCTGCAAAATGGTAAAATCTTTATTGCTTTGGGATATCTGTGATTGAAATACAACTCGAATTGTATACAAAACAAGAAGAAACCAGTGTGTGGTATCAAACATACTTAGCCTCATGCAGAAGAGCCAGTCCTCTTAATTCTTCTAAGTCTTTAGCTTTCCCTGTGTCAGGATGAAAAGAGCAAACAATGTGAATCATTTTGCATTTGTCAATCAAAGGGGGAATAATCACTGTTTTTTTTAACATAATCCTCTGCATTTTTCAAACCTTCGTTCATATCGTTATTTCTCCAAGTAGAGACAAGACACAATTAGAGATGTGAGTCATGAGAGAAAATCATCCTCTTTAAGATGCTAAGTCAAAGCTATCACTACACGTCAAGCTGTCATCCGCCCCCACGCTGACAGCTTGCCCCGGGCTCTCCCGGCTCCACCCCCCACCTCAGCTGCCTGCATTTACACCCGTCTGATGCGAGGCCCCCTCGTTTTCCCCACCAAGTTGCTTCCCCCTCCAGAAGGCTGCACTATTAAAACACACGCCTGTCAGGTGTAGCTAAAGAGTGACAGGTAAAATACAAGGGTCTAGCAGGGGCTCTCACTGGTGGCACCCAGGACTTGGACCAGCTGGGCTATGGAACAGACATGGCTGGAGGATGATGGGAGGATTGTTGGGGCTGAGAGCAGCTATCGGGGGCAGCATGCAGAGGCCAAGTGCAACAGGGAGCTGGGAACGCAGCTGGTCAGAGCAGGTGGCACGAGGAGAGGAGGGGCTGAGACCTAAAGGTGACTGGGCTATTCATAGACCAGCTTCTCAGGAGGCAGAGGTTAGGTGAGGGTGAAGTGCAGAGAGCCCAGGCCATGGGCTGTGAGGATCGCTGACCGACGCAGAGATGCTTTCTGGGGTGTGGAGCAGCAGCGAGAGTGATGCCCAGGCCTGTGCACAGCCAGGCGCCACCTGCAGCCCGCACCATCAGTAGCCGGCAGGTGTCTGAGGGCTACTAGGCACAGTGCTTTGGGGAACGATGCTATTTAGGATGACTGCCGTCACAATAGCGTCTTGTCGTCAGATATACCCCTCTCCATCAAAGGGTGCTAAAAATAAAACTGCAATTTTACGGGACCCCCCCCAAAATTTTTGATGCTAAAAAGAGATTCTCACACTTTAAAATTTTGCGAACCAAAATCTAGGCTTTGGAGTGAGACAGCCTGGACTCAGATCTGCCACCTATCAGCCGAGTGCATCTGGGCCATTCCGTCACCGTTCGAGTCTTGGTTTTCTCACCTGTGGAGGGGTGGTTTCATTGCCTCGCTTTCTCTGGGGATAAATGACTTGACCTGCTCACGCCTGCTGCGTATATAGTCAATGCTGGACAAACTAGTGGTTTCTCCTGGGATGGTTTGGGTTCTTCCTGAGCAAGAGCTGAGAAAGCGCACACTTGGAGTAAGAAGTCGTGAGTGGCCGGGACTCAGCCATAGCCAGCGCCAAAGTCCTGGCCCCATCACGGCCAAGTCTAGCGGGGGAACTGCATTTTAAGAAACTATCTATGCTTTATCTTTAAAAATCAGCCCAAATAATGTGTTGTTCTTTAAAAGAAAAGGCAGTGGGGGTGGGGGAAGCTCATGTCTTGCAAACATAAGTTCTCTTCTTTTTTTTATTATTCATTTTCAGCAGCATGGGCTGAGTCATAAAGATCAAGGCTTTCTGAAATTATAGGTGGTATAACGGTTTGTCTGCAAAGCAGAGCTGACCGTTTCAGAATATCTCCCCAGGAAAGGGGTGTGTTTTAACTGCTGCTGACTTCTCAGCATCTGCCCCCGCGTCCCAGGGTGCCTGACCACGGATACTCATGGGGCCTTGGTCTTTACCACCCCATCGCTCACACTACACACACACACACGCATGCGCCTCCAGTCACATTCAGAACAACCAAGGACTTCAGCTCTGGGCTTAGATTAGACATCTCAAGAAAACAGAAAGGGGGAAAGTGTCTCTGAATCAAAGGGATCTCAGAATCAACACGTTATTACACAACATCGGTAAGACTAGCTGGCTAAGGCAGGCCCCAGCTTGGGATGTGACATGCAGGTTCTTCCAGTGTTTCCTGGATTTGCCAAAGGATGACGGGCGTGGGCCTTGGCCTCCTTGCTCTTTCTTGTCCTTCTAAATACCTTTCCTGTGATGATATCCATCCTCACTTAGAGGACTGAGCAAATCCAGGCTCTAAAGAGGTTTGTGCTTCCAACAAGACAAACGTGTTTCTATCAGAAGCATTGCTAGCATTTGCCATAAAACTGTAGCTGCTGCATAAAACCATTTTCTTGGCTAATATTCGAAGTGCAGCTTTACCTAGAGGGCAGAACGGAGAATTCTGAGTAATTGTTTGATAGAAAAATGCTATTGTTAAGTGTCATTTTTATTATAGCAACTCTTAAAGGCTGTGTTGCCTAAACCGTCCATGTATCTTGAGCTTTATACTTACACATGTGATTATGTTGTTAAACTTTAAATAGTTGGAAGGTTCGTGAAATTAATAATAGTAAGTTCAGCCTAGTTTACCTTTTGTTTTTCTAACCTTTCCGATTGATCGAAGGGAGGTCAGAAAGCCGTCTTGGCTTCTCTCCCTTATCATTGTTTTTAAAACTGTAAAGATCTATTTTTCTACTTTTATAAGGAAAACGTCCTCACCGTAACTGAAATTTTACTTTGTTGTCAGGATCTTTCAGTCCTTCAAGTGAAACCTGCCTCTGTTAGTTTTCATTGGCAAAAATGTCCTGAAGACAGTATAGGAGATCGGGCCGAGCCCAGCGGATCTGGGGCTGAAAGTGAAGTGCAGCTTGGTTCTAGGTGTTTGTGGTCCCGACTGCTTAACTTGTCATTAGCAGAGGTCTAGACAACTGACAAACTGTCTCTAAACGATCACGTGCTGTCGTCTAGTTGTCTTCCTACATAGCGTTGCGTATGACCCAGTTACCGTGGATGTGACGCTGTTGACTCTGTTGCCTTCGTAAGTACGTTAAATCAAAAATGTCTTGATTTCTTAAAATAATCAGCTGCTTGATTGCGACCAAGAACTCTACAAGAACTTCCCTCTGGTAATCTCTGAACGCTGGCAGCAGGAAGTAGCGGAAACGGTTTACGAAGCAGTAAATGCAGACACAGATAAAATCGAGTCCAGGAAGAAGGCTAAAAATAAGCAGCTTGGCCACGAAGAAGGTAAAATAGCAAATGTGTCTCAATACGTTTCTAATGCAATGAGTTTTCGACATTCCTTACGAAGCTGAAAGAGGATTTGGGTCATGAAGTATTTTTCAGTAGAGAAGAAAGCGATACCATAAATCATTTTGGTTTTGTCTGCTCTGGAAGAGCTCAGTGTAATATTTCAGCCTTCAGTCGGCACATAAATAAAAGAGCACGGAGACAGCAGTATTTTGTTAGCGTGTCCTCTTATCTTGCAGTGTTTCGGGGCTGGTTTGGAAGTTTTTTCCTTGAAGAGTGAGTATTGCCGTACCAGGACCAGGGCTGGTGCCACGGATGTGTGCCCGGCGCAGTCACACAGGGCACTAGGCTTTGGTTTAATGCTCTGTAATGGTTTTTGAACAAAGGGCCTGCATTTCCATTTTCCACCGGGCCCCAAGGTGTATGTAGCCAGTCCTGGTGAGGAACTCGGCATGACATGAGAGATAAATATATAAATACATTTTTATTACAAACTACATTAAAGAATTGCCAAACTGCATTTTTACTTAAAATAATCGAGTGTCCTATTTGGATTTCCAAACTAGGAAACATAACATCAAGGATTAAATAAATCAGTCGTTCTTGATTGACTAAATATTATCGCTCTGGATTTTTCTAAGATTTTATGAATTTTGGATTTTTAAATTACAGTTGATGATTATGGTAAGATATTTCATTTTGCCTCCGAGCAAAGACTCTTATGAGGTTAACTTTATGTAATAAGAATGACCAGAAACATTTTTCACTTTACTCGTAGGTTATTTTGGTGGAGGTATCTTGGTATAGAATTCATTGGTCTTATGTGTGAATTTCCCTGTAGCCTTTAAAGTGTCCTCAGTCACGGATGATTTACCCCATACATAGAAGTTGCCAGAATGCACCAAGGGAGTAGGACTGCACTTCTTTAAACTGCTCACCTCAATCCTGCAGGGACATGGCCCTAATTTGTAAACTCTTCAAAGAGGACTAGTCCATTGCCTTCACATGGGGCTGTGTTTGCCATAGCAGATTTTACACAGGACGTTGTCTCCCTGCTAATTTGCTCAAGGGAGGGCCCTAATCTCACCAGAATTCTGACAAATTGGATGTAGAAAAAAATATGTATCTTAATAACCTGTTGAAGTGCATCCTTTTAATTAGACAGAACACCTAGCAAATTAATGAATTTATCTTCGTATGTTAGTAAGTAAATTGTGCATAACTACGTCTTGGTCAATGATCTCAGAAGTCACCTTCATAGAAAAATACAGTCTAAGCTTAGATCTCTGGAAAAAAAAAATGCAGTACAATCTGCTGTCTGTACCTAGGAGTCTGCATCTTTGCATTCAATCAACTACGGATTGAGAATATTTGAAAAAAAATACAAAATAACAATACAACAATAAAAATAATGCAAATAAAGAACAATACAGTGTAATAGCTATTTACGTAGCATTTACATCGTATTAGGTATTACAGGTAATCTAGAGGTGATTTAAAGTATACGGAAGGATGTATGTAGGTTATATGCAAATATTATGTTATTTTATATTGGGGATTTGAGCAACTGAGGATTTGGGATCTGTGGCGTCCCGGAACCAAGCCCCATGGGTAGCGGAGGGATGACTGTACTCTTACTTTAAACAGACTTTGGAAGCGCAAGCACTATTTTGATTAAAATGGCAACTCCACAAACGTCGCCCCATCACCACTGACTGCCCCCCAGTCCTCTCCCTCCTCTGTTCTGTCCCTGCTTGTCTCCAGATGACATAATGTGGATTTTGCTTATTTATTTATGATCCACATCTCTCACTAGATTGTGAGCTCCCAGAGGCAGGGATTTTTGTCTCTTTTGTTCACTGCTGAATCCAGAATACCGGGAACGTGCGAGGCACCCGGGCATCCCCGTGGTAGTTGTTAGGTGAATGAGTGAGTGAAGGACACAGTCACCAAAGCCTTTAATGAAGGCTTTAAGATTCACCTTTTTTTGTTTGAGACGGTATTTCACCATAAGCATATAAACAGGGCTCAACACGAGTGTGAATTGTCTCTGTATGTAATCGTGTATTTGAGGCATGAACCTAACCTTAGGCTGAGAAATGAACTGGTTTTGATCCTTATGTTGCCTTAGCTTACTTGGACAAGAAAATTCCCACTCTGTTATTATTTGTAAGATGGAAGATAGATTAAAGGGAGACTCTCTATCCCACATAAAAGCAGAGGTACTTTGGGGATAGCTTGAATTTAAATACTCCCAGTTCTCTGATTCTCATTATATATTTTGAAAAAGTAATTTGGAAACTAACTTTTACCCTCTCAAAGGAATAAATAAACATCACGATTTATGAAGATATTGAGAAGCAACCATTTAATTTGTTAATAGAGGGAGAGCGGAAGAAATCTCTGATCTTCGGATTCCCAGAGCATGTGTGTTCCAAACTAAAATAATGATTTCTGTAATGTGTTGCATTTATAGAAATTTGATTTTTCCAAAAAGTATGTCATTCTTTTTTTTTTCTGAGAATAATATCACTAAGACATTTTGTCTCGGAGCCTGTTTAACTGACGGTTATTTTACATTCCTCAGATTACGCTCTGGGAAAAGACTGCATCATGCACGGGTACATGTTGAAACTGGGAAACCCATTTCTGACTCAGTGGCAGCGTCGCTATTTTTACCTCTTTCCAAATAGACTTGAATGGAGAGGAGAGGGGGAGTCTCGGGTAAGTCCACGACAGCCTCACCCAGCACATTGCTCAGTACGTTCAAGATCAAAGGGTTATTCCACATTGCTAGCATGGTTTATATTAATAAAACATCCTCCTAAACTCTGTGCATCTATTTTAACTCGTATACATGAGATTGTAATGTTCCAACTTTAACTTTTAAACTTCCAAGACAAGTCCGAGTCAAGAAAGAACTTAGTGATATCTGAAAATAGAATGTGCCATTTAGTGAGGTCCAAAGCATTACATCATCAGATGAGTCCGAAGAAGGCTGGTAGATCAAAAAAGCAAAGCAAAACTAAAGCTAGCACGGTGGAGTCAGACAGAGGTGCGCAGACCCGTGCACAGCGTCTCTGGGACTTTGAGCACATCACGTTGTCCCTCTGGGCTGCAGTTTTCTCATCTGTGAAATGAGAGAAACAGAAATCCTAACAGCTACAGTCAGCCCTCTGCCTCTGCGGGTTCTGCATCCTCAGGTTGGACCAACCGCGAATCAAAAATATTTGGGGAAAAAAACAGTAAAAAATAACAGTACAGCAATAAAAACTAACACAAATAAAAAGCAATACAGTGTAACAACTATTTGCATTGTATTAGGTATTGTAAGTAGTACAGGTATTATAATAATCTAGCGGTGATTTAAAGTATACGCGAGGACGTCCATAGAAGATATGCACACACTGCGCCATTTGATATCAGGGACTTGAGCATCTGTGGACTGCAGGATCCTGGGTGGGCCTAGAACCAGTCCTCCACAGATACCAAGGGATGACTGTACTGTAATTTTTGCATGTTTATCTGAAGCCAGGTGCTATTAAAAAAAAGGAACACCTCGATCTGTTTAGAAACCTTGGAGGGTGCAATGCCCATTTTACAAGGAGGACACCAGGACTTAGGGAAAGTCTGGTGTGTCCAAAGACACAGCTGGACAGTGGCAGAGTGAGGGGAGGTTCAGACCCAGCCCTCCCTGTGCTCTCAGTTTCTCCATCAAACGGCCTCTCCTAGTCGGGTCAAATAAAATGTCATAAGCCGTGATACTTGGTGCAGAGGCAAGGCCACCGAACGATGTTTCTTTGTGTCTCTACCTTGTCGGAAATTTGTAGGTGGCTCATACAACAGGAAGATGTAGCTGCCCTTTAAGATTCTTTTGAAAGCGAATGTGTACGAACAAGACAAAATGAAATTTATGATCCACACCGTACTTTTCAGCATGTCAGGCAGCATTTATTAAGCCCTTACTGTGTGAGGAGGGGTCACCATAGAAGGAGCCAGCGTGGTGGGAGGCATGTCTTCTGCTCTCAGGGAAGGCCTGGTCAGTCACTGCAAACAGGACAGTGGTCCCAAATGTTGAAAATGTAGTTTGTGTGTTTCATACGTTAGAATCCCACACATTGGTTCTCCAGTGGTCGGAAGAGTAGAAAATAGTCGGCCTAAATCTTTCGTATTTGACTTTGGACTGTATTTTTTAATCCCTGTTGATAAAGCTGCCATTTAATTAGGAATGATTATAATTACATATTGCTACACTTTTTAAAAAATAAACAAGGTCTTCTCACTGTTACTTGTGCCAGAGAAGTCATTTTTTAAAACTTAGGATCTAGGCTTTGAGTTGCAATTAATAAGACTGTCTTTGGGGGCCCTGAATCATAACTCTCAGGTGCTGGTAAGTATTAAAGTAGCTCCCCAAAGCTCAGTCTATTTCCAGATAATAAGTAGGCCTGGGCATATTAAATATTTATTATGCTATCTACTGGCAAACCACTGTTGTGCACATTAAAAGGAAATGGTCCTACTTTTCAAGATATTTGGAAACTAAAAAAAGTAAAAAAAATAGAAAAACTTCCTTTCTTTAACATTGGATGCAATAAATTATCTTTGTTTTAAAAGATTCAACATGTAGAGTTCTATTTTGAGAAGCTGCATACTATGCACGAGTGGATTTGTAAGTATAAATTAGGAAAAAGAAAACTTGAGAGTTTATGATGTGATCGTTTTTCATGTAGGATTCCTGGAGTATTTATCCAAAAAAACATAAAATGGTAAGGAACTCACCACACTGTAGCATTCACCTTAAGCAATAATGCTATAGACCTAGAATGACAGTCTTTTAAGGCAATTGCCTGTATTTATAACATCATTTTGATATTATCAAAATACTGTTAGCTTACAAGCTGGCATCGCCAAGCATTGATTGAGTTGCTGCGTTAAAACTGAAGTACAGACCTTTTGCTCACATAAATCATACGTAGTGCTTACTTTTTCTCTCACAACTTTAATGATAGAATTTAGACATGTATGTGATAGAAAAAGTATACTTGTGACTCATTCAAAATCAATCCTGTGTTGAGGGAACAGGTTTGCTGTTTTTCCTTATTGAAGTATGTCTTTCTTTGCAGTTTTCTTTGAAATATTATAATTCTAACTTTTGTATGTATTCCTTAGAATATCAGCAAAGAAAGAAAACATCCCTTTTTCTTTACTTGTTCTAATCTGATAGTTTTGGGTATTATTGCCTATTAATTTAACTTAAGAAATCATGAAATAATTTGAAGTAATTTTTAATTTTTATTTTTCTGGTTAGCAAAATTTACTGACAATGGAACAGATTCTCTCTGTGGAAGAAACTCAGATTAAAGACAAAAAATGCATTTTGTTCAGAATAAAAGGAGGGAAGCAATTTGTCTTGCAATGTGAGGTGAGTTTTCATTTTTTCTTAGGTGAAATAAGTTATATAAATATTCAGCAAAAATGCTGCCTGCTTATAAAACATTTTTCTTACTCCATGTTTTATCACTTATAGACTTAATAAGAAAGCCCCGAGATGCAAGGTTTTCAGCAAATTAGCAGGATTTTTTTAAAAGCAAATATTAGGAAATGGCAGGAAGAAGTACATGAAGTAATTTCATTACCCTGTCTGGAAACTCTGTCCATTATTTAATGAGGTCTAGAATTTTATTTGTTCTATAACTTTCAAGATATTATCTTTCGGCACTTTGAAGATTGAGGTTTATATATTTAAATAAACTTAAGATACCAAAGTGATTCTCGTGTGTGTGTGTGTGTGTGTGTGTGTGTGTGTCTTAAAGGAGTGTATTTAGAGAGATTAAAAAAAGTAGATATAAAAACACATTCTTAATAACTTTATTACTATGTCACCCATAGGAAGGTCTTTTTTAATTTGTCAAAACTGCCACCCACATATTATTTCGTAGACTTCAGTTGCTTTAGAAATCAGAGGTGACCTCTAGACAAATTGAAGGCGGTGGTTCTCACAACAGGTCGTGCTGGAATCATCTGAAGGGCTTTGATGCGGCCTTTTCCTTCTCTCGGGGAGAGATCCTGGAGGAGGTGTCAGCATGGCCCACCGGGTGGCAGCGCCACTGGGGCAGACCCACAGGGTGCTCTTCCACGCTGGGTTCCAAGGCCATCATGGGTAATTACTAGAGGCAGCCGCAGCTGTTGGCAAAACGGGTGACCCCGTCACGGCTTCTGGCCTTTGTCTTTCCACCCAGAGTGACCCGGAGTTCGTGCAGTGGAAGAAGGAGCTGACCGAGACCTTCACGGAGGCCCAGCGGTTACTGCGTCGAGCGCCAAAGTTCCTCAACAAACCTCGCTCCAACCTAGTGGAGCTCTCAAAGCCACCCCTCTGTCACAGAAACAGCAATGGCCTCTAGCACCCGGCAGCAGGGGAGGTCCCTGAGGGGTCCGACCGGCCATCATCAGCCCTTTGAACAGAGCCTCCTGGAGGAGCGTGAGGATCCAACGTCTGACGCGCTGGCCGCTGGGCCCTTCCACGGGGGAAGCACACGGAGACCCTCCTAACAGGAGTTGGGGCCCTTCTCGGACCCGGGGGCATCCTCGCTGCCTTGCCTGATCGCACCCGCCCACGTCCGAAACTACTGGAGAAACGAAAGTTCTTTTCCTTTGCTATACACTTATTTTGGTATCTATGAACCTAGAACTTGAAATGATTCCCACCGACCACTTAAATTTTTACGTCTGATACGCGACACGTCTTAAACTTTCCAGGATGGAATTTAACCGTCCTCAGTGTTGGGTAATAGATCACCCTAAGCGTTGCCGTATTTTATCTGTCAGCAGCCACTGCTGGTTTTGTATCTATCTTTGCTCCATACTCCGGGGGGATGGGAGAGCAACAGTGTGTTTCTTTTGTGCACTTTACGACTGACTTCTGGTTGTCCTGGGGTTGAGAGTCGAAGATGTTTTCCGAGGAGGTTGCACTCAGGGGCTCCTCCGTGAGTCGCACGCGCACACGCGGTGCCCGGCCTCTGACCTGTCTGTCTGACCTGTCCCAAAGCGTGCGGGATTACCCGTCCTTGCAGGCATTCAGCCATCCGTCCTGGGAAAGGTTTGCGGTGATTCTGAAGGAGAGGCGGTGGCATTTTAGATTTCAGGGAGAGTAGGAGTCTTCGAAAATCTTCAAGTCCGGGGCGCTCAGGTAGACAAGCAGCGCCTTTCCGTGCCTGCTGCACACACTCTTGTGGGTGAGTCCGTCTCGGGGGGTCTCGATAACATGCAGACGTGTGTGACAGTCATTCGGGTTCCTTCTGCCTGACCCCAGGAAAATATCAGTAATGGATGTGCAAAAAAAAAGATCTGTTTTACATTTTAGTATAATTTAAAATGAATTTTATTGAAAAAAGAATGCCGAAGAATGAATGTGTGAAAATGGGTTAACTGTGTATATTGGCTTTTTGACTTACCTTGTTGTTCATCTGTCGTTAATGAGCACTTTGCACTGGGTTGTTGTAGGACAGAGACAATGTAAGGGCTTTTTTTGCCTTATCCTGGCAGCATCCCCCTCCCCCGAGGGGGATGTTTTGCACACTGTCCCCATGGCTTGTCGATGCCCCAAATAAATGCTGGGTCGTGAGAACCAGCGAAGTTATGAGAACCAGTGAACCATGTCATCAGACTACAAAAATAATAATTTTAAAAGTCCACATACTTGTCCTATTCCTGGTGTAGTTTTATTGTATGTCTTTAAATTAACTACTAACAATATAAATAACTTGACATCCTAAGTATCTGTATCCTGTCCTTGATATATTTTTAGTGGTTCCAAGCCCTTGTTTTTATATGTGTGTGCTACGTTCATTGGGAAAGTACTTTTTAATGAAATTGTATTTTGAGAGTTTGGAAGATCATTTACTGAAAGGGTCTGTCATTTCATAGGAGTTACTTAGGAAGAGAAATTTTGAGGGTTGTTATCCATCTCAGCTACTAGTTGGGGTTTAAATTTAATGTACATGTTCTACTACCTGTTATTTCCAGTGTAGGAGGATGGATATACTATTTACATGCATTCCCCATATTGAAAAGGGAAGAATAGTATTCAAATCATACTTGTAATCCTTGTACTCTGGGAGGCCAAGGCAGGAGGATCGCTAGACATCAGGAGTCCAAGACCAGCCTAAGCAAGAGTGAGACCCCCATCTCTGCTAAAAATGGAAAAAAATTAGCCAGACATTGTGGTGCGCCTGTAGTCCAGCTACTCTGGAGGCTGAGGCAGGAGGATCACTTGAGCTCAGGAATTTGAGGTTGCAGTGAGCTATGGTGACACCACTGCACTCTAGCCTGGGTGACAGAGTAAGACCCTGTCTCAAAAAAAAAAAAAGAGAGAAAGAAAAACACCACCAGAAACAGAAAAGCTGTTGTTCTTAAAGAGTATCTTCCCAGCGCTGGTTAATTGTAGTGGGGCCTGTCGTAGTCACTTTCTAGATCACAGGCTCGTACCCACTCGGCGCTTGTAGCTGAAGCTCTGCGCCTCATCTATCGAGAAGGCTCAATGACTCTGTCAGGGCCCGGGCTTAGCGTCTTACCTCTCGTACATGGGGCGTTCGCTGTGCAAAAGCATTCAGAAAGATTATCAAACTTTCCCATACTTGCCATAAAACTGAGCCAATCCATACCTATTTCAAAAATACTGTGTTTCCTCTTGAGATTAAAATAAGGTTCATCCCTCTTATAGAAAAGAAATATGAATTGGAAAATATCCCAAAAGCCCTTTTGCCTCAAACGTATTCCAAGCAAACTTTGACCCCTTCCCAACTTGAGTTTGATTTATAAGGATATAGCTGAGAGGTACATCTGATGTCATTTCTGTAAAAGCACCTGGTGGGATTCGGATGGGCTGCCTCCGACGGCAGTGGCCGGTTGTGTTGGGGTCTGGTTTGATGGTCCTGGTGAGGCCAGTTTGCTGGAACGTCATGATGGGGATGTCTCTGCAACCAGACAAAACACCACTGTGCCCGCACCTGGTGCCCACGTGTTCAGAGAAGTCAGCTGGGTTAGAAGTCTTGGTGTACTTGGCTCTTCTAGGTGGTTTCAGAGGTTACGTAATTCCTAGACGTTTGCCCTTCTCGCATTTGGACCATCGAACAGGACAAAATTCAGCTCACATGTTCTCATTATTTTAGATTTCTATGGTTGGGATAGTTTAACACTGTGAAGGAAAATAATCGAGGTTGATACTATTTTTATAAAATGTTGTTATAATAAGTCTTGATTTCATGATTCAAAGGAATCTATAAAGCAAGGCCTAAAAATAAGAGAATACTTTAAGCTGCTATGTAACATATTATGGACTAGATTAAAAAGTTTTTTGAATCCAAGTTTGTTCTTCTTAACCTAAAACATTCCCTTTAGTGCGTTTATCCCTTCATGTCGTCAGGGCTCATTGATTTTTTTTCTTTGTCATGTTTAAGTATGATTTTTCAACAGATTTCCCAGACATTGTTTTATTGCTTAACCGTTAATGCAAAGTACTCATGTCTCTGCTTGGTCAATTCACTGACACTACGACTTCAAATTCTATACATATTAAAAAAAAAGGCCAAATGAAAATAAATAAATAAAATGGAAATACATATATTAAAAAGTGAAAAAAAAAAAGGCCAAAGGTCTAGCAAGGCACAGCAGGTTAAAGAAGCCTTCTGCTCAAGAGAGACAGTGACAGTAGCAAACAGTGCTCCGTTTATTGACAAACAAGATTTAGCTAGATCTGCGGTTTGAAATCTGCCATGCAGATATTAGAAACAATTGTTTTAAGGCCCCAATGGCCATTAGAAAATACTGTTTACCAAATGACAATGAGATTTAATTAGGTTAAAAAGATCAAATTTTTTTCTGATGACATTTTTTTTTATTTCACTCAGATTTTGAAGTTGGGATAATTAAATATATTTGACTTTTCAACAGAATTGATTTTTTTAAATAAATGTTTCAGAATTTTGACATTTCAAGAAGAAAACAAAATTCTCCAAGTTTGACCTTTTTTACACGATGTAAGTCTAGAAAAATGCTTTAGAAATGCGCTAGTGCAAGGTAAGACTTATCTCCTATGATTTAATCACATGTAATTTTTTCCCCAATTATGTTCAGGGAAACATTTCTGTGTCTTTCAGAGATGTTTGATGAATTAGCTCCTCCCCAGCCTGCGTGAGGGGGTGACTTGTTTGTGCTGGGTAAGCAGCTGGGCTTCACTGGGGTCTGTGACAGGTGGCGAGTGGGCGGGTGAGTATCACAGAGAACAATCATGGTAGAAATGGGGAAAAGGAAGAAAGCAGTCAATTTGGTCAAAACCATTCCCTTTTACACCATAAAGCACCAATGAAATGACTGAGTTAAAGTTGGTGGGATTTTTTTTTTTCTCTAGAACAGAGGAGAGTTTTTTTCCTAATTATTAAAGTAATAATTACTATAAGACTTCATCACTTTATTTTTGAATATGGAGCTGCTGAACTGAGTAAGAGGCCATCTGCTCTCTATCAGAACGTTCTGAGACAGTTGTATTACTGCGCATGTCCTCTGGCACCCTCCAGTGAAGGCCTGGAGCTAAATCAGCGCCAATCATCCCTGAAACACCTTTGTTTGCAGCCACAGGAGGCGGGGAGGTGGTGTCTGGGTCACTAAGAACGTATTGCCCAGTTGGGGCCATTGTTACGAATCCGCAGGAGTTCTAGTGAAACCCCCAGAAGAACAGGACCCTTGCTGTGTGTGCCATGCCCATTTCTATAGTGAACTTTAATAGTTTAAATTTCAAAAAAAGAATCCTTTTCCTTGAGATCTAACGGATTTTCCCTTCCCATGTAAGGTTTCCTGGAGAGGCTTGAATTAACTACTTAAATTCATGTTCACGCGAGTATTTTTTTTTTTTGATCTGGACCACGTTTTAAATTGTTTTTACTGTGGAATGAACGAAAGTTGAGCTCTAAAATGATATTCCTTGGTTTTTCTCAAGTCATGATGGACTTTAGATTTTCTTTGTCCTCGAAGACAGAGAGAGCTGTTCTCTTATGGGGGAGTAACAGGGATGTCCCCTCCTGCAGGCCCCCCCCCCGGCCTGTTCCCAACCTGGCTGTGTTAGCGTTGAATGGTAAGTGCAGGACCCCAAATTTTAAATCGCCTTTATTAAAAACAAACAAAAAACTACAGAAACTGGGTTAATGGCATATGCATTTCATGTAAAACATGTAGGGGGAAAGCACCTTCATCTTAGAGTTAGATAACTCAAGTTCATGCAGTGGAGTCAGCTCTCCACTATCTAGCAATCTCACGATCGTCTCTGTACACTGGCGACCATGCTTCCTTTTTTAATTTGTCCTAAATATGTCTTTGATGTCAGGGTAGGGAATGGAGAAATATTTCCAATTGTGTATTCATATTACGAAGAACTTG